AACATTCTTTTACAATTATACACAAAAACATCCAAACATCCAACAAAACATTTCTCTTTTCCTCTTAAAGACAAACCAAACATCAGACATTTGTTGTTTTGCTTTACCATCAGCGGGACAGAGTCCTTCAAGTTCCACTCATTCTTCCTCATCTGAAGGATCCCCTCAAATACAAAGATTAAATGAATGTGAGCAGTTAATGCCCTTAAGTGGGTTATCGACTAACACTTGTGAACCTTCTCTAGATGCCATTAATGTTGGTCAAATTGATTCTTCTGCTAGTAGAAGTTCGGGTAAGATTAAGGAAGAGAATATTGTCCTTTAAATTGACCATTTTTAATCTCAGGTGTTAATCAGTTGGGAAGAACATACTCGCCTGGATTGCCTTTATCTATGAGTGAAAGGCAACAAATTGTGGACCTTCACAAATCGGGATGGAAAATCTGTGATATCTCCAAGTAAAAAAAATAATTTGAAAAATATGTTTTGATTTTTAGATGCTTGTGTATAACACATAGCTGTGTTTCTAAAATTTTGCAAAGATACCGAACAACCGGATCTGTTAGACCAAAAGACGCCAAAGAAGGAAGACAGGAAAGCCCCCTAGTTGCAGCCATTAGGGATTATAGAACTCGTTTGGGGATTGTTAGACAATCAGAAATTAGAGAACAATTGATACGCGATGGGCTGTGTCGGAGAGAAAACGCCCCTTCACGTTCATCAATAAATCAGTAATTTTGTTTTAGATTTTACAAATCTAATGTTTTTCTTTTCAGTATTTTGCGAACAAAACTTAATAATAATGTTGTTGATTCTCATCGACAAAACAACAAAAACAAATAAACTTTTAAAATAAAACTTGTTTTGCAAACTTAAGTTTATAATACTATAGCAATAAGATTAGACAGCAAATAAATAAACTTGAAATTAAATGTTTTTATGAGAAAAACATGATTAAATGATAGCAATAAACATTGTTTTTTACAATTATACAAACATTCAAAAACATAAACATTTAAGGATGTTTAAGCCATTCATTCAAACATTCAAAAACATTAAAAACATTTACAAACATTCATTAAAACATAAACATCTAAACATTCCTCAACGAACAAAACATTTTAATAAACAAAACAGACATGTTTGAATGAACAAAACATAAAAACAAAAACATGTTTGGATGAATGTTCGAAACTTTGTTTTAGTTTAATTAATGTTGCAAAATTAAAAACATAGTTAAATTACTCTAGTTTGTGATAAATGTTCATTTCTAATAAAAACATGCCAAACACAAACACTGCCAATTTATTTTGTTTGTTTTACTTACCTAATTTGTTTTTAGCCTTCAAAACAATTTTTAATACTTATTAAAATCAATGATTTTATTGGATAAATAGATATATATTTTTTAAATTATTTATGGGATTAACTTAAAAGTGCGTTAATTCTATCAATTCCTTTTTTAAGGAAATAAAGAAAAAAAAAGAAAATTTGTCTTTTGAGAAAATAAGTTGGGAACCGAAACTGAAAATTACCATTTAAATATGTTAAAAATATTTTTTAAAAATTGGATTTAAGCAGACATGTAATTAAAATAAATTTAATACAACAAAAAAAATTAAGTCGATTAAAAACAAAGATTTTTTTAAAAATATTTATTTGCACTAAAATCAAAGATGTATGTGTTTGTAAAAGTCTGGATCGCTATGCACATGTCCGGGTTTCATTATTATAACTCTAATAGAATAAAAAGGCTGATCAATCCATCTTCGTTGTTCTTTATTGTAAAATGAGAATCTCACTTCTGGATTGTAAATATTGGCAATTTGGTAATTTGTATATTTTGAAATAACCCCTAGCTCTATTTCAACATTTTCAGCTAATTCGCTCATTTGAACATTTGTTTGAACAGAGAAATTAACAATAATAATAGGCACCATTTTTGAACAGTCTGTAGATGTTGCTATATACTAAAATTTATATTTATTTTTAATTGTTTTGTAAATATAGCTGATACTTGTGTAGTTTCCCCCCTATAAGCTCCGCCTCCTTATCTCCACTTTTGCTTTCTTATAAAGAGGCACGCATAAAAAGAATCATTTTTCTCTTCTGCTGTGGCCTGTGTTGTGAATTTATGTGTCACAATAAAATTTTTGGGAATAGAGAACTCTACTCACCCAGAGTTACTGGTCACACTCACAACACTGCCCGTAGGTTCAAAAATACAGAGCTGGGTATTTATCGTCATAGGGTATGCTGAAATAAATAAAAAGGAAAATATTGACTCAAATGGCATTTTTGGAAAAGTAAGAGAAGAAAAAGGGGAAGGGACTTATGGAGGAAGAGGGAGGGGGGGGGGGAACTACACAAGTGCCATATAAATTACTTCAACAATCTGATCATAAATTATTTTATTAATATCCATAGAAACTGTCAAATTAACTTCTTTAAAATTGTCTCCATTTGTTAAAATTTTAAATAAATTATCTTTATATTTTTCCATAATGTCTTTTAATAAAAAAAGTTCAATTTTTAGATATTCGCCGACAAAATGATTAAAAATAAATTGAAATAAATTCTCAATATTGTGTTTTGAAATAAATAGATAGCATCTTTGAACTTTAACTTGTTTAGAATTTCCAAATAATAATTGAATCAATTCTGGATTGAATATAAATTGTTTAAAGTTTCCAAGACGGAAATAACAATGAAATAATTTATTTAAATAATAATAAACAATTTTGATGTCCTCTTTGTTTGTAATAATTGTTGGAAGTATAAATCCACAACGATCTTTACCGCCATCAACTGAAATTCGTTAAATTGAACAAAACTACAGAAAAAATGTGTATAAAAATGGGGGGAAGTCAACTCCAAATGTTTGCGCGGATCAAGAAAAATTTATGGGTATCAAGTGGGGATATCGATGGATATTGGCTGATTAGGACGAATTTATGGAAATTAAGGGTAAGCAGTAGAGTTGTCAAAATTAGGCCTGAAAGTGGCCCCGGTCCAATAAAAACAAGACCTGAAAAAATTCAGTCCGACTCGAAAACGGCAGCTCTAGTGATCATGCTTGATCATAAAAAACATACCAGGGGTGAGCAGAGCCGCACAAAATACGAGGAGATTCACGAGATACGAGACTAAACGCACCCCTGCTTTATACGTCCAAATATTGAGTTGATCTTTTGGGGCAGATGTCCCTTTGTGTAAACCCAAAATTGAAGTCAAAAGAATTCGCCACTTTCCCGTTTGTATACTAGGCGGAAAGTATCCCACTTGATACCCCATGAATTTTTCCACTTGATACCCATGAATTTCCGCCTAGTAAAAGCTTAAACTTTTTGCGACTGATATGGATTTGAAAAAAGATGAAATTTACCTTTAGTTAAGCAAAACCCATCTTTAAAAATTCTAAATGTTCGTAAGCACACGGGAACATTTTTTAACTAAAAAACAAAAAGGAAATTTTTTTACTTTTAAAAACAGTTTAATTACCTTCTCTTCAAGTTGCTCATTCAATGGAAAGTCAAAATTTTCAACTATGGATCTATGTAGTTTTTGCGTACAATTACGTAACGATTCACCATAATATTCCTTAATTTACCGAAATATTACTTCACCAATTATAAAATTTTTACAATAGAGAATGAAGAAAAATTCTCCAAAGCAAGTTCTCCCCCAAAATTATTAATAAAATCACGAAAATATAAATTTGTTTGTTTGATTGAATGTAATTGTTGATAATTGAGGAATTTAAAAACATCAAGTTTTGTTTCTGTTGGTAAAGAATAAAGCATTTTTTGAAGAAAATTTAATAGAGCCCTAAAAAATTAAATTTAAAAAATTGTTTTAGAAATAAAGAATTTGGACTGTTGTACAGACTACGCGTCCAATAAACGTTTATGCGTCCAATCAAATTTTTATGCGTCCACTCTATGGCGATAAGTGCCAGAGGTGGGTCAGAAATGGCTCAAAAGTCGGAACTCGGAATTCCGACCTACCTTTGATAAGTACCCCGTTCTGCGTGACTACTCACCCAGTGCAACACACAAAATCGGCTACTTATTGCCAGATTAAAAACAAAAATATGGTTGGACGCATAAAAATTTGTTTAGACGCGTGAAGACAGAAAGGACGTTTAAAGTTGCGATTGGACGCTAAATCGGTGTGCGGACATATCGGGACGGACATATCGGGTTTAGGGTGACAAAAATAATTTCTTGCGTGTTTACATTTGTTCTAAAACATAAAATCTCTGTTCCCAATATACAATCCAAGACCCATTGACCGTAGGTCCCGAAATCAGTAGGGTAACTGTTCTTACATTGAAAAATGCCGATATGTCCGCGTGCCGCTTAATCAGGATAAGAGACAGAATTTATTGGCTACTAAACTCCAATGACTTTGTACTAAAAAAACAACAATAACAATGTAGAACACGAATATGACTAATAATAAAAAGATTTTGGATGCAGAATAGAATAACAAAAAAGTGATAGAATAACAAAGCACTGAGATCGAGACTAAATAATACAAAGGCTTTTATACTAAAGCCAATACTCATCGCTATTCTTTATTTAAAATACATTTTGCCAATACAATTTTAGCTTTTTAAATTTTAGCTACTTGATGGGAGAGAAGAAATGTCTAAGCGATATCCCCACGTAAAATAATCTGGCTATAAGATATAAATCTTCTAGCCCCTAAGAGCGTACAGTAAAATGAAGTTCAGTTGTTTATGATTAAAAATAAATTGACTGGCTTTACCCTGTAAAAAATGAATGCAATTGGATTATAAAATAATTTAATCCGCTCAAATTCCAATCTTTCATTAATTTTGATTTTATTTAGAAATACCAAAAAATTTTTCCCTTTCTTTGAAAAACTCACATTTGAATTTCATCCTCTGACACAACTGTCGAAAAATTCCCAAAAATTCCATCCTTAGGGGGTGTATTTATGTATTTTTTACCCGACTCTGGGTTTGCGTCAGGGATCGGGGTTTGTCGGGGCAAAGCCTTTGGGGTTTCGGGTCGGGGTTTTTGCCAAAAAAAATCCTCCGAGTTGGGGTTGGGGTTTCTTGGGGGCGTCGATTTATTTTTTCTTCATCACCCTACTTCAAGAACATATTTTTTAGCCTACTTTATTAAAATCTGTGATTTTATTGGAAATCTATAATTTTATTATATTTGTCAATTTTATTAAAATCATTTATGGGATTAATTTAAAAATTGCATTAATTATTTTAATTTTCAATTTTCTCCCTCAATTTATTTTTTCTTCATTAATATTTGTTTTGTTTTCATTGTTGTGTGTACTCGACAAGGCCATTCTATTCATTTCTTCTTTGAGAGGGGGCGACAATTCAAACTTATTAACGGCGATAGCATTTTTCCTTGAAAAAAATTTTTTTTAATTTTTAAAAATATTTCAAAAATTCAAAAATCAAATTTATAAATTTTATTTTTACCTCATTTCAATTTCCACAGTAACCATCCCCTCTTTCTTTCCCTCATTCCCTTCAACTTCATAATCAGGCAAAGGTTCCAAAACATTTTCTGGTTCTTCCGGAATGCTTCCATTATTATTCTCTTTTTTATTCTTAATTTTATTCACACTTTCCTCGTTGTTTTTAGTCCATTCTTCGGGAATACTTGGTCGTTTAGTTGATGAAACCTCGAAATTTCGCTGCTGAAGTCCATACTTTTGTGCAATATTTTTATTAATGCTTCTATAGAACCCTGAATGTGTCCCACGAATTGTAACAAATTCCATTCCGATACATTTTGGACGGGGAATTTGGAATTGGCCTAGATCGAATATTGAATCTTTTAATGTAGTCATTTTTGTCTATTAAAACATTTTATTAAATAAATAAGTTAAAATGTTTGGGAAACAAGTTGGGAAACATTATATTATGTGAAAAACATGTTTGGAAAATAATATTGTTTTAAATGTTTTAAAGAAAACAATGTTTGTACACAGCGAGTTTTGATATGTTTAGGTGTTGCCAAACAAGCTGGAATATTTATTAGTTTGGGAACAACTTGAAAATGTTTATATTAAATGTTTGGAAAAAGGTTGTAATTATTTAGTGTTTGGGAAACAAGTTGAGATAAAAATGTTGAGGAAAAACATGTTGAGGAAAAAATGTTGGCGAAAAACATGTAGGGAAAAAATGTTGGGGAAACATGTTGAGGAAACAAGTTTGGGAAAAAACAAATAGAGAACATGTTGGAGAAAACATGTTGGGGAAAAACATGTTGGGGAAACAAGTTTTGATGTTTAGCAAAAAAATAAAATTAAACTTGAATTAAAATTAGAGAAAAAAAGGTTTGATGTTTTGTCTAAACAAAACACAAAAACATTTTAATAAACATCCTATTTTTGTTTGATAACAAAGTTGTGTGTGTTTATATTTTCCTAAAAGAGTGCATTATAAAATAAAAGCTGATTTCCTTTTATTTTATTTTCTTTGCTTTTCGAATCGATCCCCTCCCAAAAACTCTGTCCACCAAATCGGCTTTAAGCTAAAAAATATAATTTCGGCGATGTGTTGTGATCCATTTATTCATTCACCCATTTTTTAATCTTTTTTATTGTCTAGTTTATATTGCCTATTTCCGCTTTTATGAAGACAAAATTAAATTTTTCCTTAGAAATTTATTTTTCTCTTGGAGAATTTTCGGGGTTCTTACTTAAAAATTAAATAAAATTGTTTTTAAAGGCTGGTGAATTTTTTAAAATTTTTTTGCTTAGAAAATTGAGGATTTTCCTAATTTCTCAAGGAAAAAAATAAGAAAGAAACAAAAATAAAAGAAAAATAATTAATCCCAAATACAACGTTATTTTTACGTGTTACTGTCCGTCCCGGACTTTTTTTAATCAAAAATATACCTTTTATGTGTGAGGACCGGTTGGCGTTAAAAAGCAGCCCATTCTTTACCCACAACATTTTTCTTTTCTTTTCTTGATAATCCAAAAAGAAACAAAAACAAGTTGCAATTAATTATAAAAACTTTTTTACAATTGTATTTTTAATTAATTGTGTTTTTATAATTTTAGAATGTTGAGGGAAATTCAGAAAATGTTTTTAAGACAAACACAAGTTCTCAATGTTTGGGGAAGTTTGGATGTTTGTGAAACAAGTTTGAATGTTTTTTGAATGTTTTTGAATGTTCGTAAAACAAGTTTAGAATGTTTGTGTTCGAATGTTTGTGAAACAAGTTTGAATGTTTTTTGAATGTTTTTGAATGTTCGTAAAACAAGTTTAGAATGTTTGTGTTCGAATGTTTGTGAAACAAGTTTGAATGTTTTTTAATGTTTTTGAATGTTTTTATGCTTGGGAAAACAAGTTTGAATGTTTGTGAAAAATAAGTTTGAATGTTTTTTGCAAGTTTTTCAGTGTTAGAGAATGTTTGGTGTTGGAAAACAAGTTTGTTTTAATATTTATTGTTATCGTATTTAGTGAGAAACAAGTTGGAAGCATTTTTCAAAACTTGAACAAGTTAAATAATGCTTGACAAACAAGTTGGAATATTTAAATGTTTTAAATAAACTTGGAATAAAACATTAATAAGTTTGTTTAGAAAAACACAAAAACAAATAAAAATATTTACTCAATCACCACTTAAAAATTATTTTTAACTCAATTACACTTTAGTGAGGCTAAAGAATGAAAAATCAAGTGACCTCTAAATTATTATTTTTGTTTATTTATTTACTCCGTTTAGAGTGCTCAATGATGGATGTTTCTAAATTTAATAAAGTAATTTTAATTAATTTATTTTATTATTTTTTACTCGATCACGTTCACTGACCACCCATTTTGACTTGTCTACTACTGGCCAAACAATGCCTATCTTTAATTTAAATATTCTTCTTAAGGTTACGAGGTCGAGTAAATACCTGCTCATCAAAAGGGTCAACACCAAATTCCTTCTCTTGATCATACTCAGAAGTACACTAAAATCAGAATATTTTTTAAATTTATTTTTAACTTAGTTACTGACTTTGTAAACCACGTGAGCACCCTCCTCAGAAATACACTTAAGAAAGAAAGAAATACAACAGAATAATAGTTTTCCGGAAAATACATACTATAATTCTTGTTTTTAATTTTTCCGGAAAATAGGCATTCTAATTTAAAATGTTTTCCGTAAAATATAATTCATCCTTCCCTTCAATTTTCCGGAAATAAAATAATTATAAAAATACTAAAGTTTTTCGGAAAATCTATATTTAAATATATTTTCCGGAAATACAATATAATAAAGTTTCCGGAAAATGAATTAATATTTGTTTTCCGGAAAATCTTTATTTAAATACAATATTCCGGAAATACAATAGTTTTCCGGAAAATAAAATTCTGATTTATAAAGTTTTCCGGAAATTTTAAATATAATTCCAATTATACTTTAAGGCTTCCGGAAAATCTTAATTTAAATTTAACTTGCCTGAAAACCATGCAAAAATCCTTTAAAAAATTAAAAATTTAAGTAAAATAATTTCAAAAAATTTCTCTTAAATTTATTAACCATCCGGGATCCAGAAAGAAGTCTTTTCTTTGGCATCAAGCACAATACCATGCCATTTACCAAAAGTTGGAGAGCCCGAACGTGCATCTATTGCAACATCTACTCTTATATTTTAATTTTTTTGATTCTTTAAAAATTATTTTTTAACCAAAAATCGAGCCAACAAGTACAGAAACAAGTTTTCCCATCCCTTTTTGTGCATGTAACCCTCGAATAACTCCAAATTTTGAATATGAGTGATTATCTTGCAGAAAATGTTCCTCAAACCCTAAAGCCTCTTTCCACTCACGAGCATTGTAAGATTCACTGAAGAAGCCCCTTTCATCGGGGAATACCTAGAAGAAAAGTTTGTTGAGGGAGAAAATACAAGAAAAATGGGGTTTTCAGGAAAAAACACATTTTTAATTATAGCTTAAACACAGCTTTCCGGAAAAAATGTTCCGGAAATACAAATATTGTTAAATTTCTGGTATTCTGTTCTTCTATTGTTCTGATTTTTAATTCTGGTTTTTAAATTCTGATTTTTAATTCTGATTTTTAAATTCTGATTTATAAATTCTGATTTTTAAATTGTTCTGATTTTTAATTCTGATTTTTATTCTGATTTTTAAATTCTGATTTATAAATTCTGATTTTTAAATTGTTCTGATTTTTAATTCTGATTTTTATTCTGATTTTTAAATTCTGATTTTTAAATTCTGATTTTCGTTATGATTTAATTCTGATTTAATTCTTATAAACATTATCTACTACCTTTTGCTTAATCAACTTAAGTCCTTCAATTGTTGAAAGTGTCTCAATCTCTGGAGAAATACGTTTCACAACTTGGGGCATTTTTAAAAATTAATTTAAAGAAAAAATAAATTAAATTAAAAATACAAGTTTTCCTCTCAAAAGAGTTGCGGATAAATATCAATTTGACTGTGATTTGGATAGAAAAGAGAGAATTTAAAAGGAATAAGAATTTAATTAAAGATAAAAATCTCCAAATTTTAAAGGGCGATCAAGAAACGAGAAATAAAGAGTATATACATTATATTGATTTTCCTAAAATACAATGAAAATACATTAAATTCTGATTTTTCCGGAATTGTTTAATTTATAGTTGATATTAAAAGTATAATTTCCGGAAAATACAATAATACTGATTCTATTTAATTCTTCAGGAAAACACATATAACAACTTAACAAAACCTTCCGGAATATGTTTTCCGGAAAATATAATAACACTTGTTATATTAGAGTATCCGGAAAATGCTTCCGGAAAATACACTAATACTGATTATATTTAATTTTCCGGAATATATAACCATTTTAACAAACATTCCGGAAAATATAACTAATTAACACAATTTTCCGGAATAAGTTTTCAGGAAAATATAATAACACTTGTTGTATTAAACTCTCCAGAAATGTTTCCGGAAAATACAATAAAAATACATTAAATTCTGATTTTTCCGGAATTGTTTTAGTTATATGTAGTTGATATTAAAAGTATCCGGAAAATTTCCGGAAAATACAACAATACTGATTGTATTTAATTCTTCCGGAAAATACAACCATTTAACACAATTTTCCGGAATGAGTTTTCCGGAAAATATAATAACCCTATAGTTATATTAAAGTTTCCGGAAAATGTTTCCGGAAAATACAATAATACTGATTATATATAACTCTTCCGGAAAATATAACCATTTTAACTAAACTTTCCGGAAAATATAACTAATTAACACAACTTTCCGGAATAAGTTTTCCGGAAAATAAATAACTCTAGTTATATTAAACTCTCCGGAAAATGTTTCCGGAAAATACAATAAAAATACATTAAATTCTGATTTTTCCGGAATTGTTTTAGTTATATGTAGCTGATATTCAAAGTTTCCGGAAAATTTCCGGAAAATACAATAATACTGATTATATTTAACTCTTCCGGAAAATATAACCTTTTTAACAAAACTTTCCGTAATAAGTTTTCCGGAAAATATAATAACACTATAGTTATATTAAACTCTCCGGAAAATGCTTCCGGAAAATACAATTACTTCCGGTTTATTCTATTTACATTTAAATAACGCCTATTTTATAACTTTGTTTGGCGTTCTGTTTTATTAGACACACTGTCCTAAAACTTTACTATAAAAGCCTTAAATGTTTAATTGTTTTTGCACAATTAAAAAACTTTGTCTGTCCCCTAACTCCAACTCATTTGGAAGCTCTTCAATTGGCCTTTCGCTTTTCTACATCAACATACTCTCTAGTACGGCAAACAGCTCAAAAAGTGCTTGATGGTTCTTTTACATGGTGGTCTTATTCCTACAAATTATTTGTTGATAATTTGGTTCAATTGCTTGAGAATAAAGAAAACTACAGGACAATCTAAAGTAAGGGAAAAGTTGATTGGTAGTGTATAGTAGATAGCCATTCAATTCCTGAGGCTATGCAGGAGGTGGCGTGGGGTGATGGGTAACACATTAGTCCGTTCAAATTAGAGTGCTGTTTCACTTCTAGTCGCCGATTAACCTTTTGCATTAGCTGAAGGAGGAATAGCTATAGCCATGTTTTACTGAACAAGATTTAAAAAAATAACTTTTTAGAACCACCCAGAAGTTCAATTTCCTCGTTTTTTCAATTTTGCTGTTAAAAAGTTTGAGGAACATTATCACGGTTTTTATAAATTTTAAATTTTATTTTAATCTATCAATTTATTCAGCCGGTTCTGAGCTAGAAGAGGAAGTTGATCGAGCTTTAATTTGGTATATTACTTTTGCTGCAGACTTTAAATTGGCATATCCCAACAGACGAAGAAGTTGATTATGCTACAAAATTGGTTGATCAATTTTTAACAAAACCTTTGGAACAACTTTTGGCTAATTTTAAAGACACGACAAAGTTTATTTTTTAAATTTTATTTTTTTTTTGTTGAGCGGATTTTCGAAAGAAGAACTATAGGGAAAGTTGGTCACTGGTCCTTTTATTGTAATTTACATGGACATACGTGAGCTTAGGTTTGAATTTTTTGGGGAAATTTATTCCTGGAACGCCAATTTATTTCCACCCTTCAAACACAGGACAACATACAAAAAACCTTTTGAATTTTCTTCACAAACTGGTACCCCGTCTTATCTCTTATGGCAGCACCGTTTACTCCCTTACCAAGCAGAATTGGAGAAAGAGGCTGACAATTACTTTTCTAATATAAAATCAGGCTTGGGTTATTCTGTGCTGATGCGGGATGCTAGACCTGGATTGCTTATCTGGGTGTATGAATTGGACAGGTTTTGAATTTAATTTTTTATTTTCTTCATATTGGCTTCTTATTCTCCAAAAATTTCTTTAATAGTTTTTCGTTAATTCCAAATTTAATAGGCCATATTGAATCAGATATTAATAATTGAAAGAAGTGGAGAACAATATTTGATTCTAACATAATGTCTCGACGTAATAAAAGTCGTAAAGATTGTGGGCAAAATAAATTTGTCGAAAAGGTAATTCACTGTTACAACATATGTCAAACAGACCATTGTATACCGACGCAATACTAGCTTGGGCTTTAACTCAGCTTTAAGTCTCTTATTGCGTCGGTATACAATGGTCTGTTTGACATATGTTGTAACAGTGAACAAATGTAACAGTGAACCTTTTCGACAAATTTATTTTGCCCACAATCTTTACGACTTTTATTACGTCATGATATTATGTTAGAATCAAACATTGTTCTCCACTTCTTTCAATTAATATCTGATTCAATATGGCCTATTAAATTTGGAATTAACGAAGGTCTATTAAAGAAATTTTTGGGAGAATAAGAAGCCAATATGAAGAAAATAAAAAATTAAAATTCAAAACCTGTCCAATTCATACACCCAGATAAGCAATCCAGGTCTAGCATCCCGCATCAACACGGAATAACCCAAGCCTGATTTTATATTAGAAAAGTAATTGTCAGCCTCTTTCTCCAATTCTGTTAGGTAAGGAAGTAAACGGTGCTGCCATAAGGGATAAGACGGGGTACCAGTTTGTGAAGAAAATTCAATAAATTTTTTGTATGTTGTCCTGTGTTTGAAGGGTGGAAATAATTTGGAGTTCCAGGCAAAAATTTCCCAAAAAATTCAAACCTAAGCTCACGTTATGTCATTTTCATGTGATTGCCAAGCGGCGAAATTTTAGTTTTGAGGATTTCTTTCGATTTTAGTTTTAAATATTTTTATTATTTTCCGAAATTTTAAAATTTTATTTTGAATAAATTCGTTTTTTAACTTTTTGTTTTTTATAATATTTATGTTATAATCCATAAAATATTTTTTATTTTTTTTTTCAATCTATTTTTGCCTTCCAAAACTTGCCTCATTACATCTTTCAAATATTTCCTTTCTCAAATTTACATATATTTCATCACCTTTTTATCTTTCCGCCAATCCTAGCCCCTATATAAACATTTCATATGCCAACATTTGATTCCTTGGAAGCCTCATTTTGCTCAAAGTTTTGTTTAATTTAGGTTATACGTGAAGGTTTAGGTTCCTCGATAAGGAGAAGGAGAGAGAGTGGTTTCTCCTCTGTTCTGAAGCTTGCCGAGTATTTTTTTAGTCGATTCTGGTCATATCCCAAGTCTTTCCAAAAACCGATTACCTCTCTCACATATTTTAGCGTGTGTCCTAGATGCTTTTAAATTTTTAAATTTACGCCTTATATTGCATTCTCTGATGTTATTCTATTTCTTGCCTTTTTTTCTTTTTTCCTCTAAATGTCATTGGAAAAATATAAAAGTCATCATAAATTTATTCCCATACTTACAGTCGTCGACATAAAGATAGGGACAAGAGTAATTTAAATAAAAATTAACTATTTTTCGGTCAAAAAATACGTTCTATATATCAATCGAAAGCTCTATTTATATCTCAGTTGACATGTTTCTGCATTTTTCATGAAAATGAAAATTGGCCGAGATAATCCGGATCTGCCGGATATACCAAATCCCACAGCCTCGGAAAAAATTTTCGGAAAAAATCTAACAAACCCATTTGATAAAGCATATTTTTCTGAGTATTTTCCACAAAACCGCTTAAAAATATCTCCTTCCGGACCAGAGATATGATTTTTTGAAAATGGCATTTTTCCCTTAAAATCTGAATTTTTTGCAAAAATAGACGAAAAATGCCATTTTCAAAAAATCATATCTCTGGTCCGGAAGGAGATATTTTTAAGCGGTTTTATGGTATATACTCACAAAAATATGCTTTATCAAATGGGTTTGTTAGATTTTTTCCGAAAATTTTTTCCGAGGCTGTGGGATTTGGTATATCCGGCAGATCCGGATTATCTCGGCCAATTTTCATTTTTATGAAAAATGCAGAAACATGTCAACTGAGATATAAATAGAGCTTTCGATTGATATATAGAACGTATTATTTGACCGAAAAATAGTTAATTTTTATTTAAATTACTCTTGTCCCTATCTTTATGTCGACTACTGTAATTTTGCTTACAAAAAATTTTCTCACTTTATTTTTATTTTACTTAATATATATTTTTTAATTTTTCAGAAAATCAGTTAATTTAAAAAAATTAAAAGTGGATTCTTCAAGCGAATCGATTTATTCAGACGAAAGTGATTTTGAAGAAGATACTGATTGTTTGTCTGAAGTAGCTGATATATTTGACGAAATTATGGATAATGAAGATTCTGATACTGAAATTGCTGACTCTCAAGGTTTCTTTAAAGATTTCTTTAAAAGGGCATAATTGAGGGTTAACGAAGGGATGATCCTGTCCCGTCAGTTATTCGGCTATTAGCTTTTCTCTCTGGGATTAGTTAGGGTTGGGGGCCCGATTCG